TCTCTCTCTCTCTCTCTCTCTCTCTCTCTCTCTCTCTCTCTCTCTCTCTCTCTCTCTCTCTCTCTCTCTCTCTCTCTCTCTCTCTCTCTCTCTCTCTCTCTCTCTCTCTCTCTCTCTCTCTCTCTCTCTCTCTCTCTCTCTCTCTCTCTCTCTCTCTCTCTCTCTCTCTCTCTCTCTCTCGCCTTCTTCCTCTCTCCCTATCTAAAAACGGCCGAATTCACATGTACAGGTGTACAAAGCTATCGTGGAGTCGGGGAAAAGTTTAGCGAAAGACATGCATTCAAAGTCGCCCCTCATGTACCAGTGGCACGACAAGCAGTACCTCGGAGCAGCCCACGGCATATCCGGAATCCTCTACGTTCTAATGCAGGTATGCATTTATTGTATCAGTAGTATAAAATTTATTGTGTGTATCTAAGTATAAAATCTAGACAGAATAATACAAATCTGGTTTCTCTGCCTCTCTCTCTGCCTCTCTCCCTCTCTACCTTCCTCTCCCCCTCAATATTAATGTTCTCATATCTTTTCTATGTTCTTGCCGACAGGCAGACGACACCTCACAGGACATGGATGCGCTGGTGAAACCCACGCTGGAATACCTGCACACTCTGCACTTTCCCTCTCCCTCCCTCCCTCCCTCCCTCTTTACCTCCCCACTCCCTTCCTCTCTACCTCTCTACCTCCCTCTCTACCTCTTTACCTTCCTTTCCTCCTCAATATTAATGTTCTCATATCTTTTCTCTCTTCTTACTAACAGGCAGACGACACCTCACAGGACATGGATTCACTGGTGAAACCCACGCTGGAATACTTGCACACTCTGCACTTTCCCTCGGGGAACTTCCCCTCGTCGCTTGGCAGCCGCGGCGGGGACATGCTCGTACACTGGTGCCACGGCGCTCCGGGCTTCCTCTTCATGTTCGCACGCGCTTACACGGTCAGTGGAGTCTCTCCTCTCTACACACTTTCTCTCTCTCTCTCTCAATCGTTCTCTGTCCGCCTCTCTCCTCTCTCTCTCTCTCTCTCTCTCTCTCTCTCTCTCTCTCTCTCTCTCTCT